CAACTTTGTAATAATTTGAGACAGAGGCAAAAATGTAGTTTTTAAAATTCCATTTAATACTATATTTCTACTACTAATGACGACAGAACAAATTATGATGAATGATGGCTGAAACAAGATAACTGAGACAATTAATGAAATGATGGATTGTAAGCTTAGATGTTATGCAGCAGAACCTAATTAGGGGTCTTAGAAAATTGTGGGTTGTAAAATAAGTCTGACAGTATGGTTTAACAATCAATCAATTAATAAAACCATCTACGCCAGTTGTGGAGAATCTATGAACCCTTTTGGTGAAGGCTCCCGGCGATCCAGGGGCCGAGAAGTCGGTACGGACGGGCTGCAGATGGAGTTGACCTTCTGTGGTATTTGAAGCACTTAGATCCACCTCAAATACAGAACTAATGGTCTGAGATACCCTCAGGGTGAATGCTGGTGGTCAGATGAAGTTTGCATCTGATGCAGCTTTGCAAGAAGGTTTGACCTAGTTGGCCAAACTGGACAGCTTACTTGAGCTCCGTTAGAGAAAGTGTAGACTCTTTTTAATAACTATTGTTTATCACCACTCCTTTCTCCAACACTTAAGCCGGGCGTACACTGTGCGACTTTTTCACTTTTTTGAGCCGATTTTCCAGTCGTGCGAGAATCCACGACATCGGGGCGAGTTTTGCGCCGAGCGGTCGTGTAGTGTACGGGGGGTTACGAGAGGCGATTAACACCACGTGACCAGCTACCAATCAGCAGTCGTGAGCTCGCACGGACATCTGGTGTGTTTAATATTTCTCTCGTCCCTCGTGAGGGTATCGCACTGTTGAAGCGGCGCTGCGACCCAATAAGTATCAGAACCGCTCACGGCGCATGCGCAATCCTGCACCAACACCGCTCCCCGCTATTTCCCTAATAACACACGTTGTTCGTTTTTGTTTCTACACGTTTTTTTACTCACAAAGATTGTCAAGAAAGTGTGTTTGTCCTGTTCATGTCAAATTAAACTGATCACAAAACACAGATTTACTTTCTTTATTTCGTTCATCCAACCCCCATAAATCCCTGTGTGTCCTCCTGCAGCACTCCCGAAGCACAACAGTGAAAACAAGACAAAAAAGTCTAACGTGTTGTGTAAAAACTGCTATTTTTAGCATATTTTTAGGTCCGACGTGTTGCTACCAGACGTACAGCGTGAGCAGTCAGGTCGCATGCGAGAACTGGGTCGTACAGTGTGAGCGCCTGGCTCGTGAGATCTGCCCTGCGAGGAAGTCGTACAGTTTGAGCTGAAGCTGAACGCTGCAAGTGAAAAAGTCGCACAGTGTACGCCCGGCTTTAGAGAGGTTATCTCCCTTAATGTGAAGTAAATATGTTAAACGTTCATAATAATATTAATGTGTGAAAATACTGATAAATAAATCACTATTAAATTCAATAAATAGACCAATCTGGTGTCATTTAAGATCTGGCAGATGTCATTATATGAATAACCATTTATGCTGATTAATTAATTAATGTAAAGCGTTGAATACATTAATAAAATACTTTAGATTTGAAAACATATTGTAGGTAGCACAAAATGTGATCGTAAGTTTGAAAGTAATGTTATGAGCCACAAAAGATAACTTTATTGGTAAATGGCCTGTATTTGATATAGCACCTTCTAGAGTCCTGGAAACCCCCAATCAGTCATTCTCCCATTCACACACACATTCACACACTGGTGGGGATGAGCTATGATGTAGCCACAACTGCCCTGGGGAGCACTGGCAGAGGCGAGGCTGCCGAACGCTGGCGCAACCAGTCCCTCCGACCAAAGGGATTTAGATGAAGCATCTTGTGATATGGATTATGCACAAGTTAAGAGATATTCATAATCGACCTGAGGTTGGCACGACCTGTATGTTAAAGAAAGTTAATGTTCGGCCATTTGTTGAAATACAGGCCTTGAGCCACGCTACACAGGGATATTGTCATTAGACGATTTTGAGCTGACATCCTTCCAGTTCTATGATGACTTTTTCCACTTCCGGTCGGTAACAAGAAAACGCCTGTGCTTGGCTTAGCCGCAGTCACCGACCACTTTTTCAAACTTTTCTCCACTAACCTCCTCTTTTCCACCTTGCTCCTGTCTGCGATCCTCATCAGTAGAGTCCCTGCTACCATCTCCTATGATCACCAGACTCTTTTGTCCCGTTTGTTCACGATCGCCCAAGATGCACCGAGGACGTACCTCCCTGTTTGTTCATCTGAGTGGCGCACTGGCCCGGAGCCAAACGACGATTCCAACCAGGGCGCCTCCAGCGATGTTTATCCGGTCCCGGGAAAACGTCGGAGG